GGGGGGAGATGACAGCTGGGGGGAGATGACAGCTGGGGGGGAGATGACAGCTGGGGGGGAGATGACAGCTGGGGGGACATACTGTCAGTCTTCACTGGGTGAACAAGTAGGAAGGAAGCAAATAAATTTGTTACTCAAAGTCTACACATCACGCCTACTTTCTCTGGGCAGATAGAGTCCTGGAAAATGTATTAAGCACTTGTAGGGGGCTGGAGCAATGGCTTAGGAGTTAAGAGCATTGACTGAACTTCCAGGGGATGAGGGTTCATTTCCCAGCACCCACATGGCAACTCACCATTGCCTAACTCCAGTTTCAGGAGATCGGATGCCTCTTCTGGCCTCTCTGGGTACGTGTATTCATGTGGTGGACAAATATTTCCCCCACATACACATGCCATCGATATTTGTTTATTTACAAAGAACACTTCAAAAACAGAAAACAATGGCTGTCACTGTTCCGACCTAATATCTACCAACTGCTGAGCTTCTACAGCTACTAATCCTCGCGAGTGCAGATTCCAGGCCGTTTCCCTGCTTTTCACATCAGCCACTGGGATTCCACACCCCAGTATCGCAGGAGCCCATACAGATGGCTGTTCTCACACAGAGCCTGTGTTTAAGGCTTCACTTTACCAGGGTTTCAGCCAGATTCCCCAGGCCCAGCCCAGAGGTTCTGAAGTCACTCTGCTTTAAAAACCCCCCTTAACTTTCTCAGGGTTCTTACAAGAACACCCCACATCCAGCTCAGGTTGCTCAGAGCCCTGCCCACTGGCCCCATGCTGCCTTAACAAGACAAGACCCAGGGCAGCAGAGAACCAGTCCTATCTCATCTCTGGCATTATAATTGGTTTGTTGTGATATTTTGATTCCATTCTGAAAATAAAGCTTGCTTTGAATCAGAGGGGGGAGCTAGCCACTAGCTGACCAAAATTAACCATAGAGGTTTGGAGGACTGTGGATAGATAGGAGACTGGCAGTTATAAGGTGGGACTGAGAGAGGGTCTCAGCCCCTTTGGAGGGAGGAACAGAAGAGGTAGGAGGCCACTGGTGGCTTTTCGGCAGCTTCTCTGACCATTCAGGTTCTTACCCGTCAACGTCTAGTGCGTTGGGGTCCCTGGGTAAGGGTCTCGTGCAAATCAGAACACAGGGGATGCAGAGTGTGAACAACTGCATATCAAGCTTTATTTTGTATGGCTTTTATACAGACTAAAAAGCATTACCTCAACTCTGAAACCCCACACCCCCTTACTAACGTACATGGTCAAGAGAAACTCTTGCCTCTCCTTGCAAGAAACAATACCTCAATTAATAACAGTAATAAAAATGAAAAGAAGTACATAGAAACAAGGCAACATGTATACAGGAGCAAAGCACTCCTTTGTAACTGGTAGAGCGTGTAGAATTGAGCTCAAAGGCCACTTCCCTATCCAGGGTACAGATTCTGACAGAACGTTTGAGAAATGGGCAGAGAAAGTTTGCTTTCATCTATGCTTGGTTTGCCAAGCAACCGTTTCCCAGGTTCGTCTCATCTGTCCCAGGAGGAACCTGCACTCTAAGCCAGTTCTGTGTCTCCACATACCCCAATATCTGACTCCCAATTTCATTTATTGATAAAGAGTAATTAGTTAACCGCTTCATTGGCTAGAGACTGAGCCTGCACTGAAGATGCTGGGACCACCAGGCTCTAAGGAAGAGGATCCTCAGCAGGAAGCCCCAAACTCCCAGTCGAGAGCATTCCACCTAGCAGGCCTGCCTTTGGGGATTCCTGGGCTCATCCTGGCCACAACCATAGGGAATCCAGAGCAAACCCATTTCTATCCATCTGTGTTTGGCCGCGAGGTAGTGGCCTACCATAAAAGTTTCAGCACATCTATCTCTGGCCTTGGATCCTTGGCATCCCCTCTTGAATCTGTTTCTTCCTCCCAGAATTCAGTCCTGTCTTCCCCGCCTACCCAAGTTCTGCCCTATCAACTAGACCAGGCCAGTTTCTTTATTAACCAATGAAAGCAACACAAAGACAGAAGGACCTCCTACACCAAACCATGGAGATGTGAGCCTCACCCGGTGGCAGATCAAGGTTCTGGGGCTTGCAGGTCAGCAGCAGCAGTCCATCCCCTGACAGAGGTTCCATGGTCTCCATGAGATCCCTGAGTCCCCCTCACCAACAGACTGCTGACACCAAGTGGGGAAGCTGAAGCTGCTACCTCAGTCCTCTCAGCACACAGTATGCCTGCACCTCTCACAGTTCCAGGTCAAGGCATCCCTCACGATTATTCTGCATCATTGGTCATTCTGGGTTTCCTGGAGCCTCCTGCCACAGCCTGGCCTTGGGAGAGGTGTCCCCATGGCTGAAGATCCCCTCCAGTATATCAAGGGCCCTGCAGCAGATCTGAGGAAAGCTTAGACCCATGAAATCCTGGAGCAGGATGCAGAGATGGCAGCATTGCACTCAGGAATCCATGCTAGATGCAAGCGAGCACTTCTCAAAGCAGGAGATTCAACACTTAGCTACTGTCGAGCTTCTAAGAAGCCTGCCCAACCTCTTGGCCCTCAAGAATGTTCACATTCACTGATTTCCTGGGTCGCAGTATTTACCACAAGCTTCAAAAGCCTGAGCCAATGCTGTGTGATCTGTTGTTTAAGGTACTACAAGGAATCCATTAGTAAGCCATCATATCTGTATTTTCTCCATCAATATTGGGTGGCAATAAGTTAGCCCAAGGACGTGAAAGGAATAAAAGCCAGACTGTTAGCGGACTTATATTTGATCACACTAAGGGCAAGCCTAAGAGGACACTGCGTGTATTGGCAATCAGAGGGGCTCAGGGCCTAAGAGGACACTGCGTGTATGGGCAATCAGACAGGGCTTCACTGTCTCTTGGAGTTGGTGGGGGGGGGGGACAGAGAAGCAGAAGCAGAGAGACAGGCGTGTGTGCTGTGCAGATTCCAGCCCATTTCCCTGCTCTTCCCATCAAATTTGTAAGTGCAGGCGCAGGCACCCAAAGAGCGTTCTTTTATCTTTATGATCCGAGTCCACAGAAACGAAGCAGTGGTCCCAGGGCAGACGTAGTAAAATATTCAGCTTCCAGGTCTGAGTCCCCTCTTGGAAACATCCCAGAGTGGCTGGCTGGTGGCTCGCTGACTCTTTCCTCCCAGTGCCGAGAGGATCGACCTATGAGCCTGCAGGCTCACCCAGGTGCACGTTGTTTTCCAGGGAAGCTCAAAGTCCCCCACAGACTCAACATTCTTTTTCAGTAAGAGGTGATATAAAGGCACCCGAAGCCTTTGGAGTAAAGCCATCGGCAGCTGGGCACCCATGCTGTGTAGTAACTGCAGGGGCACAATGATCCAGCTCTGGCCATGCCATGTAGCCAGTCTCCCCGAGTGGTTCCCAGACATCCCCTAGCTCACCTACATGTGGTCCACATAGCTTTGTATATGTCCTCCGGTTCCTTCCATACAGTTGGGCACGGTCTCTTTCCTTGTTGCTGCAGGACCCCTTTGTCACCAGCGTTGAAAGCCCTCGGTCGTATGGGAGACACTATCCTAATGTAGAGAATTTACCCCGTGCAGGCGCACCCTAACAAAGTCTTTCCATTCACGGTAAAAGAGCCTCTCAGTATGGATTAAAATACAGTGTAGCTGGTGACTGTCTAGCTTCAGATCTACTGGTCAGATAATGGTTGGCAGGTAGAAACTGTCTGTGGTGTTGGAGAAACAGTCCAATGATATTTAAATAACAGAACACATAGATAGATAAAAGAAAAGCACATTAGTCTCAGGGAGGGGACTGATTTGCCCTGGGGTGAATTTGTGGCACATGGGATCTCTGTCTTTGGTTTGGACACATCTTCCCTAGGCTATGGAGGTCCAGCACTCAGGAGGCAGAGGCAGGTGGATCTCTGTGAGTTTGAGGCCAGCCTGGTCTACGGAGAAAGCTCCAGGACAGCCAGGGCTGTTAGATAGAGAAATCCTGTCTTTGAAATTACAAAAGAAGAAAAAGTGTGGCTGTGCTCTTATACTCTTGAGAGCTTGGTTATCAGCACCAGGCCGGAGCTGGGCCTGCTGATGTCACATAGCAGGAGGGGATCCCAAGCCTCACCCTCTCAGGATAAAAAGGCAGTCAATGGTTGCTGGGGATGGAAGACGTTCTTTTCCTGTGGTAGCTGCTGCTGTTGAGGCTCCCCTGCGCCTGTAAAGGAACCTGAGCAAACATGCCAGGCCTCTAAAGAGAGAATGCGAGTGTGTGGTGCGGGGGGGGGGGGGGGGGGGGGGGGGGGGGGGGGGGGGGGGGGGGGGGGGGGGGAATGCGGCTATTGATAACACGGAGAACCAAAGGGAGGACTTTTCCTAGTTTTTAACGGAGATTGTGGTGTTTTCTCCCCTTTTGTGCTAGTGATCGAATGTTAAGATAGAATCAGTAAAAGCCAGTGAATGGAAGTAAACGGAGGAGACAGAGCTGCACGCGGAGGGCTGAGTCCAGAGAGAGTGGGGTCCAGGTAACCATGAATGAAGTACAGGGTATGGGGAACCCTTGCTTTCTAACTTCCTTTGACACCATAGAGGCCACGGGCAGGGCACCTACCAAGCAGCCTTAGGCGAGTTCAGCCCGGAGGTAGAGTCTGGTGTGAGTGAGAAGCTGACTGTCATTGTGTGGTCTGAGAGATGAAGGACAGGCCATCTTTGCTTCTGAAACTCAGACCCGCTAGCAAAAGGCTTATTGGTGGATTCTAACCAGAGAACTTGAGAGACTGAGGCCAGACAGAGTTCTCACTTCACCATGTTTTATATAAAATAGACATTTACATAAATTTTGTTTTTGAAAGACTTAGGCAAAGTATACAGTCAGACTTCAACAGAGAAGTATTTTAAGCAGCGAGAATAACACAGGTGTACATATACATACAACCAACCAAAATAGAACACTGAGCGGTGGGAAGAGACCAAGGTCCGGACAGCAAACACAGCGACTTCCACACGTCCCTGGCTTCTATGGACACCTCGGGTCCCTAGGAGAGGGTGTCATCTTTTCTCCCAGGAAGGTGACAGGGTGACCGTACGAACGTTAAGCACAACTGGAAGACTTACTATTGTCATGTTAGCACACTTGGGCAGCCTAGTCTTCCCAGGGTCGCTTGTCTGTGTTTTGTTGTGTTTGTTAGTAAGAACCGTCAGGAATAAGATCATTGTTTTGACGGATGTGTCGTGCTTCTAAATGCATTTTGGAGGCTCGTGGTATCCTGGGGGCCACTGGACGAGACAGTGCTCCATGAGGAGGGACAAACTCTACCTAGGTGTGGACTTACCTGCCCTAGTGAGGTGACTTCCTGGACTGATGCCAGAACTAGAACTCTGAAGCGCCGATCTCGAACTAGTGCGCCCCCACAATGGGCCAGCAGCTAAATCATCCCCAAAGGGTATGCACGGTAGGAACTTCCAGGCTCGCTACCAATATTTATCCTGTGTCCCTGACCAGGAGGAGACATCCTGGACCTCTGCATGCGGACATTTCCGGTTAGGAATGACTGGCAGCCTGTATTTTCACTCAGACCAGGACTGTGTTTTGTAAGGTGCTAGTATTATTTTGTCTTTTTTATATGCCCTGATGGCTTTACCCAGAAAATCACTGGTGATGAAAATGTTTTAATATGAACCAATTGATGGCTCCAGTTATCCTATCCATCCTGTTTTGTACTTGATTACTTTATCTCCTCCCTCAGAACAAAGAACTCACAGAAACAAAAGTATTAGAAGAGTTTTCAGAATGATACAGCAAGCTTTGCATTGAAAACCGAGAATAATGGTAAGAATTATAATATTTTCGGTATTGGTTTCTGGTACTCTAAAATCTTAGCTTGCACAGCTGCGGTCTGAAAGGTGTGACAGGCACCTACACTTTTCAAAGGATGGCATTAGCTGCTTGGTTTTGCTGTATTCGGGTGATGCCAACTAGTGTGACTGGAAAAGAAGACAAAACAACCCTCCTCTACCATAGCTGCATGCCTTTGGCGAATTAGTTCCTAGAGGTTTATTATTCCCCTGGGTGGATCCACACAGATAGGAGCAGGCATTTTTGCCCATGATTCCTTGTCAAAAGGAGTTTTTTTTGTTTGTTTGTTTGGTTGGTTTGTTTTTTTTCAAAACAGGGTCTCTCTGTGTAGCTCTGGCTCTCCTAGAACTTGCTCTATTGTAGACCAGGCTGGTCTCGAATTCACTGAGACCTACCTGACTCTGCCTCTGCCACCCCAGTGCTGCTGGGAATAAAGACGTGTGCCACCACACCCAGCTCATCAAAAACAGGTTTTAGTAAGTGCAGTCAAGAACTAAACAGGAAAGCCCAGGGTCTGTGTGCCAGGCAGAAAGAGGCGATCTCTGTGCCGTGGACACCTTCTAAGAATAAAAAGATATCAGGGTTTTGGTTTGTTTGTGTTGTTGTTGTTGTTTATTTTCTGTCCCTGGCTCTTGCCTGCTGTGTGCAAATGGCATTTTCTAAAGAGAAGGACACATTACAGACCAGCTGCCACCCCTGCCGTCTCTCCCTTTGACACCCAAGCATTTTCTAAAGAGAAGAACACAAACATTTTCTAAAGAGAAGACCAGCCACCACATGCACAAAGCCACCCTACTCAGTCACCTGCCGGTCAGCCTAGGAATGTGATGACCCATCCTTTAGAATTCCTTGGCTCACTTTGGTCCAGTAGCTAGAAATAAAAAATTCATATTCTGCATCTGCTTGGTAGAAGCTGTAAGCCTCATTAAAGCATCAGTCCTATAGGACTTTGCTATCCGCAGAGCACTGGGTCTCAGGGAGTTTGGAAGAATACTCACAGTTCTCCAAGGGCAGCTAGTGTGGAGAGACCCTGGGTAGGGGGGAAGGCCTCCTACCAGCCCAGCTGCTCTGTAATCAGAAGGATGCAGCCTATCTGCTAACAATCACTAGAAACGGGACCTTTGCTTTTTCTCCTCCTCAGTTCGGTCACCTCAGATAGCTTCTGTGGTGTGGTTTGGAATTTTTATTTGGCCTTGTCTGAAAGCTGAAAAATACCTGTGAAATTCTGCTGCAGACTTCAGAAGGGAACCTGCATGCTGATGAACATCAGAAACCTCTCTGCTTTGTGTGACAACCTTCAGAATAAACAAGCCCAGGACTGAGATGTCTCTGGTGGCCAGTAATGGAAGGCTTGCCTTACATGGATGGAGTTCTAGCCCCAGAAACACACAAACAAACAAGGCCCCCAGTCCTCACAAAAGCATCTATTCCCCCATAGTTTTTGCATTTTTGGTTCGTTTGCCTGAGTTCCACCACCTAACCAAAAGACACTAATAACCTGAAACATGTGAATCATTTTGAAAAATACTAATTGAATAATTCCCAAATTTAAAATAAGCCACCGGTCATTCCTATAGCTCCTATGTCAAAGGGCACAAGAATGAACTGCCACTGGGCTTCATGACAAGGGCAGTCTGGGTCTAGATAGGGTAACAGGCAGGACTGACAGGGAATGGTGGGGGAGGGGCTCCGGGGATGAAGGGCTCTATGTGTAACTCAGGAAAGAACCCTGAGAACACCATGCTGGGGCTCAGCCCAGGCACAGCGACTCCTCCTTTTTCCCCAGGGCATGGTGCAGCACTCTGGGACCCAAGAACAAATAAACGAAAAAACCCTCAGAATAATTTAGCTGAGGCCGGAGCTCAGCCGGAAAGTGCTTTGTGGAGTTCTCAGCACCAACAATAACGACAAGGACTGCGATGTCAGAATCGCCAGCAGAGGATCTGCGTGCACTAAGCCAGCTCCACCCCTAGGTTTCAGAAAGAGCTCTCCAGTCACTCACAGAGCAAAGCCTGCTGGTGGTAAACCAGCTGCGTTTTCACAACAAGCCAGGCTCTTCGTTTCTACGTAAAAGGAGGACTCCCACGCATTATCTCATGTGACAAGGACCAAACAGCCTGTTACAAGATACACTCGACAGCTTTGAGAAAACACTTCGCGACTGACTTTCTCCCAGGCAACCTATCTACCAAGGAAACTCTCCTTGGCTCATTTAACATCCGAGCCCACAACGCCGGCTGACTTCTCTTCTTTTTAAGCAGTGTGTGTTTTTACTGCTCAGGGAGATGCCAAAGTAGGCAGACAAATGAGGAAGGAGAGAGGCCCCATGTAGCAGCCTCCTAGGCGCCACCTGGCTTTTTCTCCTCAGAAACATTTATGTTACAGTTGCCTTTTTAATTACTCCAACAACTTTACACTGAGACCTTTTGTGGCAATTTACATTAGGCGAAGTTATATCAAACTCTGTGGTTCCATCTGTCCCGTTAGTTTTTAATACACCCATTTTGGTAAATACTGTTCTAAAAAGAGGTACTAAGGTGCTGCCAAAGACCCCTGCTTTCTAAACTAGGGGCTTGGAATTATTTTATAGCAAGCACTATAGAACATATTTTTGACCTTTGATGGAAGAAAATAAGATTCCGGATCAATCTGTGATATATGACCCTGGCAGCCGATTCCAGACATCAGGTGACACAGACACATGCTGGCCCAAGAGCAGGGGAGCACTTGGTCAAATGCCCCCTTTTGAGGGGGTGGAGGATTTGAGACAGGGTTTCTCTGCGTTAACAACCCTGGTTGTCCTGGAACTCACTCTGTGGACCAGGACTGAGATTCATCCGCCTACCTCTGCTTGCCAAGTGTTGGGATTAAAGGTGTGTACCACCACCCCTGGCTTTTAAAATAAGTTTTCAGCCATTTATTTAAACTTACCTGTCAAAAAGAAAAAATAAACTAAAATAACACACAGAAGCCTGCCTCCTGATGCTGGTTCCTCTGGTCTGGCTGTGCAGGTGAGATGTTTGTGTGACACCCACCTTGGCAGCAGGGCCCGGATAACCTTCAGGTTTCTGCTTTCAGTAAGAAGCATCCAGTTTGAAGCAGGTGCTCCAACCCCTTCACTGACTACCCAAACACAGAGCTGACCTGCAATTCCATTAGCTTTAAGTGGCATACAACCAGTATAATTTGGGGCGATTGTTAAAGCTTTCTTATTACGCAGTTTTTATATGATTGGTTTTGAGAGCTGCTATCAAAATGACTATGTACAGAGACAAAGCCACACATGTGGATATATATATTAAATATTTTATAAGTTATACAATAAATAACACTAAAAATAATGTCAAATTATGATTTCAACTTTGCCTTCCTCGTTTTTAAATATAAATATATTTTTTAAAAAACTGTGAATCTAGACTTTAGCAGAGAGTTATAGAGCATTCTCTGTGGAGTCTGCTGTCAGTCACTTGTCTCTTAAGCACAAAATTCCCAGTAAACCTTGAAAGTCAATAAATAGAGCTCTTTTCCCTCAACTCAGTCCGTGAGGAATTCTGCAACACACTGTAAAGGTTCCTCAATGCTCAAATATATCTTTCAAAAATAATAATCTCATGACGTCTTGACCTTAAGAGAATAAAGGCGAGCACTTCTTTAGACTGGCCCTCGAACACTTCCACACAGAATGTACCCCGCACCCCGCCACTCCACGCCTGGGCAGCCAGGGTGGCAGTCTCCTGGTGTACGCACTGAGAAGTTTCAGGGTGGAGACACAACTCTAGTAAGATCTGGAATACAATTTAAAAACATTTCCGTAACAAAACAAGGATGCTGAGCTTTTTCTGTTGTTGTTGTTTTTTGTTTACTGCTCAGGGAGATTTTTCCTGGAGAGATAAAGATACCCACATACAACTCTAGAAGCTCACCCGTGTTTTAGGCACTGAAAAATGTATATCAGAGTGGAATTTAATGTACTTCTCCAAAGGTCCTTAGTGGTACTCTTAGGGGATATTAGACCAAGCCCAGCGATCAAGTGCTCTGCTCCCATGCCTTCACAAGACAACCAAAGCTCTTCACCCACTCTGGACTCCCCCACGGGCCGACTTCAGAGGAGGCTGTCTCCTCTGTGTTTCTGGGCCACCATGACGACCATATCTGCATCCTGGGGACTGGGAGTGACACAGACGAGCCCAGAAAGCACACACGTTACTTCCCTTCCCTGCACACTGCCTGTTCCCCTTTGTCTTCCTGGAAAACAACCCTAGCAGCAGGGTCACCAGCAGCTGTCTCCCTGTGCCACCAGGAGGCAGAGCCTGCTGTGTGAGCAAGGCCTCTCTGTCTTCTTTCAGCCTGCTGAGTCCCTAGTGACTGTGTCCCAGGAGCTGCTAGGTCTGGTCTCTTTCTCGGACTTCCTGTAACCGTCTCTCCAGGCGATCCAGCTTGGCTAGATTCTCCTTCAGCAGCTTGCTGTCTGGGACCAGCCTCAGGGCTCTCTCATAATAGGCCCTGGCAGACACGTAGCTTCCCTGGAAGGTGAGGGGCAGAAAGAAAGACTGCTCAGCACACTCCTCTGAGGAGAGAAACTCCCCTCCCCATCATGCCCTTCCCCCGACTGCCAGTTAAGGGGCCCTAAGGAGACCTTCTCTGTGGATCTTTTTATCTTTATCTCTTGGGATGATCTATGGGAATCCATCTGTAAGAACCAGACCAGCTGGAGAATGTGGAGGCTCATAGCTACACCACAAGTGTAAATGGCAGAAACACAGATTTCAGCTTCTTAGTATGGAGGAGACTGTCATGCTGTTGCGTTCTCAGGAGGTTAGCGCTGGTCTGTGGTTCTTTGTAAACAAGTAGGCTTGGGGTTGGGGGTGGGGAGGGATGTTGTAATAGGAGCTGCAGGGCTGCGTCCCCAGCACCCTGGCCACCTGGCTAGCTTATGCCCTGAAATAACAACACACAAACTGTATTCTTTTAAACACTGCTTGGCCCATTTCTATCTAGTCTCTTCTAGGCTAATTCTCATGTATTAATTTAGCCCATTTCTAATCATCTGTGTAAGCACCCCAAGGTACGCTTACTAGGAAGATTCTAACCTACGTCCATCCTGGGTCGGAGCTTCATCGCGTGTGCCTCAGAGAGCAGAGCTATCGGGAGAGCGGAGCATGGCGTCTCTGCTCCAGAGAGCAGAGCTGTTGAGTCTGAGCTCACTTCCTCTTCCTCCCAGCATTCTGTTCTGTTTACTCCTCCCACCTTGTTTTAACCTATCAGGGCCAAGCAGTTTCTTTATTGCTTAACCAATGAAATCAACAGATTGATATGACACTCCCACATCAGAGGGAGAGCAGTAATTAAACAGACATTCATTTATCTTTTTAGTGTTATTCCCAGATCTGCTGAGTCTCCCCAAAACCAACAAAGTGGCAGAATCCCCGTATGTAAAAACAAAGAGCCTTTATTCTTATGCAAGTTCAAATTTGACTCTCCGTGTGTCCAGCACACTGGCTCAATCAGAGAGCCCTCAGCTGGGGTAGTTTTTTTTTTTTTTTAATAATAGCAGAAGTTGGAGTGAAGGATTTCCAAGGTTCAGGACCCCTGATTGGCTGACATTTGGATAGGGGGGTCCAGGTGAAAAGCGATGGGTGTGTGCTGGCAGGTGATCCTATCTACAACAGTTGGAATGTTGAGAATCTCCTTTGGGTGCTCTGCCCTGGTGGTACATGGGTGGTCTCAGACTGTGGTCTTTCTCAGAACAGGCATTGCCTCAGGGTAAACTACTGAGACTCACACCCATATTGAGCTTGCCATGGCTGGGCCCTACACTTAGTTTGCTCTAATGTTAGACTTAAAACTCAAAAGCCCCCTTTGCCTAATGCAAGTTTTACACGATGAAAGACTTGATTGATAGAAGAACTTGGGGCTGGAGAGACAGCTCCACGGTTGAAAATACTTGCTCTTTCAGAGGACCCCAGAGTAGGATAGAGGGGGCTGGTGACATTCACAGCACACATGATGGCTTATAACCGTCTCTAACTCCTCCAGTTCAAGGGATCTAACACCCTCTTTTGACCTCTGTGAGCACAACATGCATTTGGTGTACATACACACAGGCAAAAACTCATACACATAAAATAAATAAATCTTTAAAAAAATTAAAGATGGACTCAGGTTTATCTCGTAGCCAGGGTACACAGTGAAAAGTACCAGCTAGACACTCGCGGCAGGAGGGAAGAAGGAAGGTGACCTCTGACCTGTTGAGTACACCTGTTCGCACTTCTGTCAACCCTCATCTGCTCAATAATACATGTGCCTGGACTCAGACGGTCACAGACCACTGGTCACAGTCGGTAGCTTTTCCTAGTCCCTGTTCTACAGCCTGATGTACATCTTCCCCCCTGTTCTACAGCCTGACATACATCTCCCCTCCCCCCCCCCATTCTACAGCCTGACGTACATCATCTTCCTCCTCTGCTGCGGCCTTGCCGAGCTGAGTCCTGCAGAGCCCTAAGACCCAGACTGTTACAGAGCTTCCGCTGCTGTGTCCTCTGCTCACAAGGTCTGGGAAGCTCACGAGACTCGCGGGACTCCCCCCTCTCTGAGGCTACACAAACAGCGAAGAGTTTCTGGAGGTTGAGGAGGGAGACTCAGGTGGCTGAGACTTGTGAAAGTTGGGCGGGTGTTGAGTTGGGCAGGTGTTGTAATATGAGCGGCAGGGCTGTGTCCCCGGCACCCCGGCCGCCTAGCTAGCTTATGCTCCGAAATAACAACACACAAACTGTATTCTTTTAAACACTGCCTGGACCATTAGTTTCAGCCTCTTAACCCATTTCTAATAATCTATATAGCACCATGAGGTGTGCTTACTGGGAAGATTCTAGCCTACGTCCATCCTGGGTTGGAGCTGCATGCGTCTGCCTCAGAGAGCAGAGCTATCGTGTCTGCCCGGGAGAGGGGAGCATGGCATCTCTGAGCTCACTTCCTCTTCCTCCCAGCATTCTGTTCTGTTTACTCCTCCCACCTATGTTTTAACCTATGAGGGCCAGCCAAGCAGTTTCTTTATTTTTTTAACCAATTACCTTCCTCCATCAGGCAGGTAGCTCTGGAGACACAGCTGAGATGGGCGTCAGTGATGCAGGTGTTTCTGAGTCACACACACTCCTGGACTTAAGACTCTTTCCTTGGTCTGCCCTATTTGGGGCATAGATGTTTACACCGACCCCAGGAAGCTGTACAAATTCTTCCCATTCTAAAACAACAAATTGACTTTCCATCATCCTCAGCTGCAGCTCCTATGTGGGTGGACATCAGAGGTGTTCTAACTTTCAATCACTATTTAAAACAACACCTCGAGCTAGCAGCTAATGCTTACCAAGGTGTAAGTATCTTCCTACAAGTGTATGTGTGTGTCAAGAGCTGGGTGCTGCCTGACAGGATCTAGAGTGACCCTATCAGTCTCCGACCCACTTTCTGGTTCTCATGGTGGTTATGTGTGCAGCTGGTGTAAGAGGGTGTGGAAATGCTGGAAATGAAGGAGGAACTGTACACTGAGAAGCCAGCGCCGGCTGGGTAGGAGACAGTTATATCTGACAGTCAATGCTGATGAAAAAGGCCAAACTGACTCGGAACAAGGAGCCCAGTTCTGCTGCATTACAGCTTTGTTAACTCTGGCATCCTCCTCTGAGCCTCTGATTTCTGTTAAGCCTGGTGTATATCTGGGCACTTGAATGTTTGTGGACCCAAGAGCTCGCAAGATACTCCACAAAGTGGGCCCTCAAGCTACTCTGAATTCAGGCCTCATCCTTAACCTTAGTATAGTCTCAGATCACTGGATTTCCACCTTTTTGCACAAAATCTAGTTTTCCCTTTCTCCCTCAAATTGTTCTTTTCTTGATTAAACTGTTAACCCCGTTGTTTTTAAAAGTTATATCCCTTAAGTCAATGACTCTAATTCTGCTATGTAGGAACTAGAATGATCTGATTTCCAGAACTGAATTTTAGTTAATTAAGACTAAAATCCACCAGTCCTACCAGACACACTGCCTATGCCCAGTTGCCGTGGCCAGTCCCTGCTACTTGCACAGTGAAGAAAGAAACAGAGCATACTCAGCATCCCAGAGAGTTCACTAGACAACAACATTCTGAGAAGCATGGACAACTACCATGAAACCATGTTGAAATTACTTTGAGATATGGCTTGGATGATGGTCTCCTAATGGAGTTTGAAATTCCATCTTATGTAAAAGTTCAAGGAACATACCAGAGAGAGAAAAAGAACATCCCTCATCCCCAAATGCAGAATGTTCTGACACTTCTGAACAGACAAGATAGCGTAAGTAGAGGATTCTGTCGCTGACCTCGTGGAATGGCCTACCTGTCAAACGGCAGGCACGCTAAAAATATCCTGTACGCTGACAGCAGGGACTTCACATAAGTGCGGACGTGAGAGGTGGAGGGAATTCTGCAGTTGGACGCGACTGTCCACACCTGAGGCACTTTGGGTCACAGCACTGACCTTAGACACCTTGTGTGATTGTGTCCTCTCTGCCTACGACGGCCACAGCCTTCAGTGTCTTTCCCCCATCTCCTATGCCACCTCCTTGCAAAGTCCCACCCTTCACCTCCATAACCCTAGGAGGCCTACACTCCCCAGGGCCAGGATGGGTGACATTGTGACCAACACTCCTTGCAGAAGATGCAGGAAGTTCAGGATTGTTCCTGCACGTCCACAGTGACAACCCTGGACTGTTCTGGTGGTGCCAGAAAGACCACAGCCAAGCTGTGCCCACCACATACATTTATATCAGATCACATTATTCAAATAAACCCACAGAATTGCTCAGCGGGGAGTGTGGGTTTCCTATTGCTCAGGCTAATCCACGACGCCTGCTGTGGCAAAGCCTCATTGTTTCAAATAAATATCAATTACGTTTGAAAACAATATACTCAATAGATCTTTCTTCAGTCTCCAGAGCTCTGTCCTGCGAATATACAGCCCTGAGTTCAGATACATAATAATTATGCTATTTTCTCTTTTGAATGCTCTTGGGTATATCCTCTCTACTTCTTCAGATTAACAACTGAACTTTAATTTCTGGTATATTCCATCTGAGAAAATTATACATTATTTAAAAAAAACTGGTAAATATCTAACTTAAATATAGAATGTTGCACTAATCTCCAGAAAGGCCACTCTGTTTCCCAGCTAGGTGTTGCTAACATTCCATGGTACTGCTCGGACCAGAGAGTGGGTCTGTGACTGAGCTATAATAACATCCTTACATTCTGTGCGATGAGGTGTATGTTGTCTGGCTGCCCGCATAGTCCAGCCGTGAGTCCTCAGGTGCCCACGGGAGGAAAACTCTGGCCGGCCTCTTAGAAATCCTCACCACTCCAGTGTCAGTGTGAGAGAAGCCTGGGGGCAAGTTAGCTCAACAAGTCAGACCACGCTGTCTCTGTGAAAAGTTCTCCAAGGGCCTGAGCTTCCACCACCTCCTCTCACCTTCTCTGAGCATCCAGGCTGCCTACTCACCCTTTCCAAACCTGCCAGGCACCCTCAGCCTCAGACCTCTGCGTGTGCTCTGTGTGTCCACATGACCTCTGCGTGTGCTCTGTGTGTGTCCACATGACCTCTGCGTGTGCTCCGCGTGTGTCTACATGACGGAACCCTTTAGATCCCTACAGGAGCTGCTCTCAGATCCCCATCAGTGCCCTCTCTCCTTTCCCTTTCCTCTTCACATGCACTTCACAATCTGACATGTTTTAGGCATGTATCATATACACATGTGTGTACTACATGTGTGCATACTGCCTGCCACCCTGGACTAGAACACGGGTTCCACTAGGACAGGAGTCTCTATCTTGTCTGATCGCTCTCACACGCCCAGTGTCTACACATGCACCTGGCACACAGGACGCGTGCTCCACAGAGAGGTCATGAAGATGAACGTATACATGCACGAAGGAATCACGGCACACCTTTGACTTTATTGGCTATAAACAACACCCCACCCAGGGTCACTTTCAGTCATTTTTGGCAGCAAAACTCACCCAAAGTTAGCTTTAGGGGGTGGGGACCAAAGCAGGCAAGTATGTTTTCGACTAAAAGGTTAGGGAATAAAAATGTTTTCAACATGGAGAATAAAGGGGCAGGAGAGATGGCTCAGCAGTGAAGAGTGGATGGTGTTCTTAGAGAAGACCCATATCCGGTTCTCAGCACCCATGCTGGGCATTGTACAAGGTCCATAACAGCAGCTCTAGGGGACCCACCAACACCTGCTTCTGGCCTTGGACGGCACTGCACTAATGTGTATAAACCCACACCCAGAAAAACACATAAGAGAAAACAGGAAATAGTAAAGTGGTACTTAAATTAACAGTCTGGTATTGCCGAGGAGTTGACAAGCTCCACAGGTCTCTGTGTCAGTGCGCACAGACCTCAGCCACTGCTTGATAACTGATGTGGGATCCCCCTCTGTATGCTGACAATATGCTTTATTACCATTGGTTAGTAAAGAAGCTGTTTTGGCCTATGGCAGGGCAGAATATAGCCAGGTGGGAACAGAGAGAGAGAGAGACAGACAGATAGAGACAGAGACAGACAGAGAGAAGGCAGAGTGGAGCAGACACCATGTAGCTGCTGAAGGAGTAACATGCTGTACCGGTAAGTCACAGCCTCATGGCAATACACAGATGAATAGAAATGGGTTAATTTAAGATGTAAGAGCTAGCGAGGAATATGCCTAAGCTATTGGCTAAGCAGTATTGTAATTAATATAGTTTCGGTGTGATTATCAGGTCTGGGTGGCAGGGAAAGAAGGGGCCGCCTCAATTTACTAATGGATTTCCTGTCTGGCTTTACTCTGTTAAGCCATTGGCTGAAACAGTTTTATTCATCAACCAATAAAAGCAGTACCTATACAGAAGGCTCTCTCACATCAGATAACCCTTCTTCCCACATTGGATTTTCCTCGCCATCAGTGGGATCATCGAGTTAGATTTATAAACATTTAAATGGGTCTGTGATTATTCACTATGCGGAGAACACAGTGCTTCTGTATTTGATTTTCAGAATCCTATGTTTTAAGTCTCCAAATGCTTACAAGGAAAGGATGGACCATGGCTTCTGAACCACGGTGGGATGAGAACAGTGAGCTGTGCTCCTACCTGGATGTGCCGGATGCCGCCCATGTTCATCCACGCCTGTGCCTGGTCAGGATCCAGGGTCACGGCAGCTTCATAGCTCTGAGCAGAGAGGGCAAGCTTCATGTTAAGACACGCAACGCATCTAAGGTGCCATAGAACTGTGCCAGTGGCTGCCACATTGAGACCCCGATCGCTAAGGGCCACTCAGGAGGCAGTAAGTTTAGTCTGTCATGGTTTTAGAGCTGATGGTTCTGAAGTGGAGGGGCTGCAAACCCTCAGCGAAGGCAGCTTAGACTCCCTCAGCGACAGCAGCTTACTGCCTAGACTCTCTGCAAACCCTCAGTGACTACAGCTTACCGCCTAGACTCTCTCTGCAAACCCTCAGTGTCTAGAGCTTACCGCCTAGACTCTCTCTGCAAACCCTCAGTGACTACAGTTTACCGCCTAGACTCTCTCTGCAAACCCTCAGTGAAGGCAGCTTACTGCCTAGACTCTCTCTGCAAACCCTTGGTGACGGCAGCTTACTGCCTAGACTCCCTTATCAACTGTGGGATTCATTTACACCTGTAAATTTAATGACAGTTTGGTTTGTCTTACCTCAAAAGCCTCGTCCAGAAGGTTCTGCTCTCTCAGCTGGTTCCCTTTTGTGAAGAAAAGTTCAGATATGACTTTTGGGTCCCTGGGCTTCAGTTGAAGAGCTCTGTCTATGGCCTCGAGTGCCTGCAGCAGAGGGAAGTGTAGGAACCCTAAGTTAGAGTGGCGTTACCCCCCACCCCGGCGCACAGCCTTCGACACACAAAAACACTTTCTACACTCTCATTTTCTCACTGGAATTAATGACCCCCAAAAGACCACCCCCTTATGCCTCGGGCTCCCTATTCATAGATGAGCAAGAATGTAACGTCCTGATCACTTTACAAAAAGGTTGCAGAGTTGCAGTGAGGTTTTCCCTGGTCGCATGTCATGTGGACTGCTGGCCCTTGGTGCCTGCCCCACCCTGCACAAAGACCTTGCTTTGAAGCACAATTCTACCTTTCCGTTTAAACTCCAAAGTTTATCCTAGATAGGACCAAACCCCATTGCTTTCCCGTGTGTGTGTGTGTGTGTGTGTGTGTGTGTGTGTGTGTGTGTGTGTGTAGAGGAGGGTGTGTGCCTGGTCATGTTTGCATCTTGAGCTGAGTGCTCTACCCCCTCCTCCAACTTTTGTGCCTCAGACCTACCCGTGTCTGCTGTCACAGGGTCTTTGTGTTGCTCCTCAGCTGCCCATTTTGTTTGTTGACCTCTTCCTCTCCTCACCCTCCCCTCACACCTCACCATGTGCTTATTCTCAGTGGGATGCTTGGTTTCCCTCTTTCTCAACTCACCAATACATCTGTCTTGACCAATCTCTGCCTCTCTCTCTAAATAAGCTCCCTTAGGACCAGGGTGGCATTTTTCCCATTCTCCCTTACGCCTGGAGTCTACCACAGTGTCCGGCACTTTGCAGGCGTTTAACAAATATTTTCTTGAGCAGGTTATGAATTTTATGATTATGTAATTTTCAACATGCAGATAAAGAGTAACAGTCTGGCAGTTCTGCCTCCCAGGGCTGTCCTGAGGATTGCACCAAACAGCAGACCTTGGAGAGCCAGAGGGCATGCAGAGGTGGGCATGCAGGGGCTGGGTGTGTAGGGGTTGGGCATGCAGGGGATGGGTATGCAAGGATTGGGTATGCAGGGGTTGGGCATGCAGGGGCTGGGCCTGTAGGTATCGGGCATGCAGGGGCTGGGTATGTAGGGGCTGGGTATATAGGGGCTGGGTATGTAGGGGCTGGGCATGCAGGGACTGGGTCCGTAGGTGTTGGGCATGCAGGGTCTGGGCATGCAGGGGCTGGGTATATAGGGGCTGGTATGTAGGGAATGGGCATGCAGGGTCTGGGTATGCAGCGGTCAGGCATGCAGGGTCTGGGTATGCAGGGGTTGGGCATGCAGGGTCTGGGTTTGTAGGGGTTGGGCATGAAGGGTCTGGGCATGCAGGGTCTGGGTATGCAGGGGTTGGGCATGCAGGGGCTGGGTATGTAGGGAATGGGCATGCAGGGGCTGGGTATGCAGGGGTCAGGCATGCAGGGGCTGGGTATGCAGGGGTCAGGCATGCAGGGGCTGGGTATGCAGCAGTCAGGCATGCAGGGGCTGGGTATATAGGGGCTGGGCATGCAGGGGCTGGGCATGCAGGGGCTGGGCATGCAGGGGCATTCCCACTTGCTTTGGCAGCTGAGAGTTTGGGGGCGAGAGCTTCCTTACCTTCTCATGCTGCTCCTGCTTGCTGTAGATGGCCGACAGGAGGCGGTAGCATTCCAGGCATCTGGGTTCCTCTGACACTATGAGACTGGCCATCCTTTCAGCTTCCTGGGTCTGACCCATCACTGCTAAAACCTGTGCCTGCAAAACCAGAGGGCACCGGGCTTAGAAGACACTGGTCACCCCTCAGCAGACAAAGCAACTTCTCCAGAGAGAGTATATCCAAGACATCCCTAACCCCAACACAAAGCATTTTAGAGAGAGCTGAGTGCCACAGCAGAGAGTTCAGCACTTGGCTGTAGACTCCTACATGCATTTAGGTGCCACTGAGACCCACCAAATGGCTTGTGACCCTTCAGGCTTTCTCCGTGTAATAGCCCTGGAACTAGCTCTTGTAGACCAGGCTGGCTTTGAACTCACAAAGATCCACCTGTCTCTGCCTCCCAAGTGCTGGGATTACAGGTGTGCGCCACCACCGCCCAGCTGGTTTGTGACCCTTAGAAAAGTTGGCGGGACATGCCAAGTGGTAGCTCCCTGCCGTCCTGACAGAACACAGTGTTCATAAAAAGGTGACAAATCTGACTTAAGAAGGAAGCGTGAAGTTCCAAACACTGAAATTGAAATGCAGGAGGTGTTAACTATGCTGAATTTGACCACCACACTGCAATCATATGAGCCAATATGCTCATATGTAGGCATCACGTAGGCAGCAAGTTAGAGACAAACTGTCACGCCAGCAAAGACACACCATGTGCTAATAAGCACGCAGACACGTCTGAACATGTGCATGTACACACCTGTCTGATCACACTCATACAGGCAGGAAATAACAAGCAAGTGCACTCAAGTGCCAAAAAATAGTGGATCTGGGTCAAGTGCTCTCGAGGGTTTTATTCCTCGTGTGATGAGCAGTCACATTTCTGCCCTAGAACAACGTCTTCCCTTCACTTACACCTGGGCCACTTCCTCTCCCTCTACTCACCAGGGCCAGGCGGAGATCCCTCTGGGAAGGCTGGAGCGAGACCGCTTCCCGGTACACTTCCAACGCCTCCTTGTGTCGGCCCGTGTTGTAATAGAGTGCTCCCAAAGGTGACAGGACCTCAGCCGTGTGGGCCACCTGGAGGGCGCTGCAGGGAAGGACACACAGATGCTTCTCTGGTGGACTGCACTTAGGCAGAGGCAGGATTGGCCGGTTAGATGCTTGCTTGAACTTACTCAAGGTTATACTGTATCCATGGTGAAGGCCTCCAGCGACCACCAACCTGGCAACCGCACCAACACTGATGGCTGACTTGAAGCCGCAGCCTCCCACCTGTTTCTAGCATTGAGACGGCTGTTTGACCCCAGCCCTGAGCAGTGTGACCTCCCTAGTGGGGAACTCTTCTGAGCACATTACTACACTGTCGCGCTGCTATTCTGGAAGCGAGAGTCTGTTACCTGAACTGTCATCACGTGCTATCATTCTGAAAGCCTGTCTGTCCCAGTAACTAAGACGCCCGCCCGAGAGAAACTACTGACGACTCCAAGAGGCTGGGAAGGCAAGGAGGAGGGACCCACCGTTTGTACCACTCTTCGGCCACGCTGTTTTCGCCCAAGGACCTGTAGAGTCGGCCCAGGTTCACCACGGCCACGTGATGGCTTGGGTTGAGCTGGATGGCCTGCTGGTAGTGAGCCACGGCCTTCTCTGGAGAGCCTGCAGTGGGGTGGGGCGGGAAGAGAGCAGACCACAGGGGTGAGGGGCGTGGCTCCCAGTCTCCCTCCGGGTTGTACGCCAATTCTGGGCATGACAGCATCATACCATTGGGGATGCGGTTTGTGATCAGCTTGGTGTTTGGCCTCTTATGCTTCCACTGCCTAACCTTGGCCCGTCACTGTTCATCAACACTTCCCATGATATTAATAACAATTCGGCACTGATTCTGTTTGAGACAGGCTGTCTGTTTGTTTGCTTAGCTCAAGCCGGCCTGGAAATCACTGTGTAGCCCAGGCTGCCCTTGAACTCGTGGAAATCCCACAGCTTCGGTGGAAGTGTTGTGATGATTGGCGGTTACGTAGTTGAGACATTGGTGCTTATCATTACACACAAAATAGAATGGACGCTGCAGAAAGAACACAGGCCTCAGTAATTTCTAAAGGTCTGTCCCAAGTCACAGGACAAGAGAGGGTGACAGTGCTCAATTGGAAACCCATAAATCACACATTTTATTCAGTGTGTGTGTGTGTGTGTGTGTGTGTGTGTGTGTGTGTTACACACACTCTCCTGTGCATGTGTGCACAGGAAGTCAGAGTGAGATCCTGTGGAAACCAGTGGTTCTCCTTCTTCCATGGAGGTCCCAGGAACCAATGTCAGGTGGTCAGCCTTAGAGGCAGTACCCTTACCCACTGGCCCATCTTGTTGGCCTCAATGGTATGCACTTAATGTGACTGTAAACACAGTGGCTATGTCACCTTGCATTCGCCCCACGTGTATGTTGAAACCCCTCTGCTCACACGGCCTACACAGTGTTCAGGATCCTATTGCCTTGCCCCTTGGGATTTAACAGGTACTTTTTAAAACCACCAAAACAAAACTATCGCTTTACAGACGTAGACGCTAAAGTGCAAAGACCTTAAGAGACTTGGTAACAAGCCCAGGGCAAGGGAGACAAAAGCCAGAGGGAGAACCAAATCTCCCTGATCCGAGAAGGGTCCCCAGAGAAGCTTGCTAGAAACTAGACAAGTGACTGAATCCCAGAACAGCCCAAAGTGTAACTGACCGGACCCACAGGGCTACACATTAATCTTTCCCACACACTCTCTCTGAACACAGGTTTATCTAGGACCATGTCAGAGGGCCTCAGTGGCTTGTCAGAGTTCTTCTCAGAGGGGACTTTTATATGGAGCTACTTGTTGAATTTAAAGGACGAGCTTTAGTTCGGCGGGTGCTCAGCTCCTTACTTTGATGGTGTTATCATCTAATGATCCAGCAGGGGGCGCCACACAGCAATTTATATGGAAAAATAGCTTGCTTTCCCTAGTTGATCCAAATGTAAGCTTATAGTTTATCGAACAGGAAAGCTTCACACATCCTAGAAAATGAAAATCCACTCAAGTGTTCAATATTGGAAAATAATAATCAGACTGAGTTCTCCTGCAGGGCAGACTGTCGTTGGGTCAACAGGAAGTGGAATCTGTGCCCAGTTCCACCAGTGCCACAGGGGACCACGGTGTCGATGGCTAGGATGCATTTCTGGAGTGTACATTGAGGAAACCATTCCAAAGGCTTAGCCAAGCCGGTTACAGACACCAGCCACCATTTGCTGGAGGCAGGTGTGGAGGCAGGCTCTGCACTGAGGAGTGGGGTGGCATCCCTGATAGACAGCCCTATGGATGTGGTGGTAAGAAAGGCAAGGCCACTTCCTGCCCCGGGGAGTTTTCTTACAGACAGGATTCTGAGGTGAACTTGGAGATTTAGGAAAATGTCGGCCCCACAGGGCCACTGGTACTAGAGAGAGAGAGGGGAGTCTCACTCACCAGAGTCAACTAAGAAAACCGCGTAGTTGTTGTGCAGATCTGAGCTGTCTGGGCAGTTCTTTATTCCAGCCTGGTAGACGTCCTCTGCTTCCTTAAATCTTGCCTTTAGCAGAGAACAAAGAAAAACAAAGCTTTATAAAATAAACAGTGCAGGTAAGATTGGGAGTGAGCTGGGAAGGAGGAAACGCTTACTGAGCCTTGATCATACACCAGGGCTTTGCCTGAATCCAAGTCAACACTAAGGGCGTACAAGCACGGGTACGCTTAGTTCCTCTGGTGCGAACACACTGATACGAAGATGTAGCGTCTGGATGGATCCAGACCTGTATGTGGAAGAGGTCTGAGCATGAATTTTTGAATGGGGCTCCTTCTTCACCCTGGTGGTTCTAACGGAAATGCTGAATATCGGTGTGGGTGTCGAGGCATGGAGAAGTGGCTGCTGGGCTTGAAGGTAGAGCTCGAGGGTTGACAGCTGCCTCTGACAGAACAGCCCTCTTCTTTCTTACCGCCATCTAAGACTTGCCGGGGGAGGTCTCTCTCTCTCTCTCTCTCTCTCTCTCTCTCTCTCTCTCTCTCTCTCTCTCTCTGTGTGTGTGAGAGAGAGAATGTGTGTGAGAGAGTGTGTGTGTGTATGAGAGACAGTGTGTGTGTGTGTGTGTGTGAGAGAGAGAGAGAGAGAGAGAGAGAGAGAGAGAGAGCCCTACTTGCTCTGTAGTTCAGGTTGACCTAGCCTCAAAGCCCAGGCAATCGCCACAAGCCTCCTGCCTCAACCTCCTGAGTGCTGGGATCAGGGGTAGGTTTTCAGGTGGGTGATGGGGGAGACAGGTGCAGATGAAGCCAGGGTTCTTACCCCTTCTTTTCCTGAAGTATTTCAACAGCTCAGCAAACCCTGTGCTCCTTGCTTTATTAAATCTGTGCTTTCAGGGGCGGGGGGGGGGGGTCTGGAGGGACAGCTCAGCAGTTAAGAGCACTGGCTGCTCTTCCTGAGGAACCAGATTCAATTCCCAGCACTCACAAGGCAGCTCACACCTGTCTGTGACTCCAGTTCTAGGGAATCTGACACCCTCACGCAGTCATGAACGCAGGCAAAAACCACTGCACATAAAAGCATTTTAAAATATGGATGTCCAATAGTAAAAAGACTTGGTTTATAAGCAAAATATAGATGTGCGTTCTGAATTGGCCCTCAAAGGGACTGCCCCCCCTCCCCCCGCAGCACACGCCATGCCAATTACCACACCTACCCCCTTCTCTGTGCACCTTAATGTATTTTAATTATTTACAATTTAATAACTTTTTTTTTCCCAAGAAAAAGTTTCTCTGTAGTTTTAGAGCCTGTCCTGGAACTCGCTCTGTAGACCAGGCTGGTCTCGAACTCAGAGTCTCCTGAGTGCTGGGATTAAAGGTGTGTGTCACCACCACCCAGTCCCAATTTAATAACTTAATTCAGAATGTAATAACTTACAGGTATTTTTCCCACAGTCATCTAAAATCATTGCATCAACCTTTCTTTTAAAACACATGGTTTAAAATTACACAAATAACCAAAGGTTCTGAGAATTATCTGGAAACTACGGTTAACAATTTCCTTTCCTAGTGCTGGTGTTAAAGTCAGGTCAAAGACACTGACCCAGTACGAAGCACTTTGCAGCTTTTCCTTAAGATGCTAAAAGTTTACCACAAGTTATCACGGCTTTCATCGGCAGTGTGAAGACAGACACCTCAGCCTGTAAGTGAAGGTGTGTGGGGTGGTCGTCCTCCACGCTGCCCAGTAAGCTGAGCCTGAGATCCGGGCTGGCAGGGACCCCATGGGCTCTTCATTCTCCCGTGGAAATAACAGTGCTGTCTGTCTGACCCCAGTGATTTCAGCACCACGGGGGAGGGGAGGAGCTTACAGGTGACAAGCGCTATGTACTCAATCAGAGATCCATAGGGCGGCCAAGGGAGATGCACGCTTCTTGAAAGCCTTCTGAAGAAGTTGCTGAGTTCAGCAAATGTCAAAGTCAGAGAAGTTAAAAATGAAAGAAAAATCTCAAAACGGACACTTTGATCTTAGTAAGTCTGAAGGAAAGCTTTGGAAGACATTGTCTGTTGAGGCGCTGATGAGTGTGTGTGTGTGTGTGTGTGAGTGTGTGTGTGAGTGTATGTGTGTATGTGTGTGTGAAAGGACAGGAGGAGTGTACACTACACCAGATTCCAATTAGAAAGCACCGCAGGGCACTTGCTCATTTGTTCATGGTGTATCACGGGTGCAGCTGCTGCAGGGAGTAAGCCACATGCATCAGGAATCGTTCCCTGGGACCTGTGAAAGGGCTCAGTGGGTAAAGGTGTCTGCTGCAAACCTGACGACCTGAGTTCAATCCCCAGGACCTACACAGTACAAGAACTGACTCCCTCAAGTTGTTCTCCAGTCTCCATACCTACAAGGTGGTGCACACACGCACGTGTGCATACACACACGTACACACATATACACATATGCACACACGTGGGCACACGTGCACACACATACACACATATACATGCGCACACAACACATACACACGCATGCACACATGCACACACACACACTTTTAAACATATAAAGAATTGGGTTTTTATCTACAACGTTCTGCCATGGGTAGGAGGAACTTATAAGGATCCTCCCTTCTTGAGTTGCTGCAGAGAGCTAACAGTTATGGGGAAGGAAGGCCCTTGTTCCTCCGAGGCATAGCTTATTCCAAACAATAAACTATAACATAAACAATGCATTTATATAAAAATACCTTCCAAAAGCAAAAGATATGGTAGTGGCATTAATTGGGATATTTATTAGATTATTTTGACTGTGGGAATACCGGAGACAGAATTAAGAGCCTCGCACATTCTAATTGCTGGCCATATTAGATTGAATCTTTTTTGACTTCCTTCATGTCTGACCCAGGAGAAGATACTGGATGCTCACACTTGCTTTGTGATGGGTGTTTTTCTGTGGTTTCTGTTATTGGTAGTTGAAGTGTGGAAAAAGTATGACTGACGAGCTGGAAAGGGGAAAAGGAACCATCATTGTAACAGCCTTTTCTGAACTGTGGGTGTATCATGTGACCACAAGAACTACTGCCAGTTCACTAAAGTATGAGGGTGAAAGGCAAGTTACCCTTTCGTATCTGTAGGAAAACTGCATAGACCACTGCAGACCCGGGGGGCGGGGGTCTCTCCCTCAACAGTACCAGAGTTGGGGACTCAGAGGACAGTCCACAGCAAGGTGTATTTAATAGGAGGTGCACAGCGGGTTCTTCTGACAGTAGGAAAAGTTCTCTGACAGAGCCACAGGTTGGGTCCAATCCAGAAATGTGTTTGTCCTAACCGTTTAGCAAGGCAGTGACTGTTCACTGGTACAGCCCTGGGAATCAAGGGATGTATGTGTGTGACAGCCCTGGGAAGCAGGGGACTCATGGACGACACCCTGGGAAGCTGGGGACTGTAAGTCTGGCAGCCCTAGAAGTAGAGACCTGGAGGCTAAGGGAGGACAGGTCTGACAGCCTGTGGCTTCCTAATCTCCTGCTAAGGAACTCCTCAAGACACAGCAGCTCTGGAGACACCAGAGGGTTCTGCCTCTCATTTCCACCACTGTTACTTTCTTTACAAAACAGTAAGCAATCAACTCAAGTGTTCAGAGGGCCTTTCTGAGAAACACTATCAATATTTGATGTCTCTCTTTCCTTCACACCCAACTGAAATGAATCAACAGTTTTGGCGTTCTTCCGCCCTGAGGAAATGCTGGCATTTTCTAATGCTGCGGGTCTCTGTCTCCCAGCCGAATGTGAGCAATGTGTGTTTGATAATGGAGCAAAAGAGGAACAGCCAGGACTGGAAAACAGCAGAGAAGAGGACATGGTCATGGGGGGGGATGGCAGAGTATATGTGATAGAGAGGGACTGAAGGGGTGCAGGGGTTGCAGTGCTGAACTGGGTGGGAGCAGGGGAATAAGGTAAGGGGGTCTGAATGGGTTAGCCAAAGGAAGGGATTGTGGGACGGCCTTCTGGAAACCCACTAGAACATATATAATCTTCAAATGGAGATACCATGCATGAGTGGACAACACAGTTCCCAAAAAAATTATGGTAAAAATCATGAGATGCCCCCCTAAGAGTTAGATGGTAGCCCCACCCCTAACTGAGGAACAATTGCTGGCTGCAGCTCCTGCAGGAGGGAGAATCATTTTTTTTTACATGGGTTGTCCGTAATCCAGTGAATCATCCTCCACCGCCACCCTGCAAAGACAGTGAGACCCGAACACAGCTTCCACGCTGGGATTGTTTACACTAAGTCATTTAAAGAAAAAGGAAGTGGAAATGGGAGAGAGATGTTAGGGGAAACCGCGGCAGAGAGGAGAAAATAGGGATGAAAATGATCATATTACATTGTACACATATATGAAATTCTCAGATAAATTGACACACACACGAAGAGAGCTTAAGAGCATGCCTCTACAGGAGTGACCCAGAGGACCAGAAAAGAGGAGACCCATGTGTGTGGGTCCCAGCTTCTCCTGTTATTTTGCTCCATCCTCTACTCTTGCAGATGTAAGATCCACACATGGTCTACTTCTGGTCAGAAAGGTTTCCCTCCTCAGCTTCCCACATGAGCTTATAACACCTCAGTCACACCGACTCAAGTCCCCATAACGTCCTCATTGGTGCCCAGTGCTGTCCACACTTGCTGCAGAATTTCTTATTCCCTGCTTCAAAGTTCCCTTTCCATGACTAGGTTCCAGGAAGGCAAAACACGGGACTTGCTACTTGAGGGATCTGTCGTGTTGGCTGGGATTTGCGTGCATTCACCATGAGCTAAAGGATTTAATCAATGCATTCTTACACTAGCGTCCACTCCAAGTTGACTTAGCTGTGAGTGTTGAGTGTGACTGACCCAATCCAGATAGCATTGCAGGAGACAGACCGAGTCTATCCTGGAAAACTCACATTTTAGGTCTCAATATTCTTGCACTCTGATATTAAATGAAATCACAACCCCAAATACATGAAAGAAAAATATTTTATAGATGTTTCATATTGAGGTTTTCAGTAGACTATAACCCCGAGACTAGTTTTAATTTGCAGTGGT